GCCAGTACTGCACGCCCATGGCTCTTCCTGTGAGGTGGCATGAACCAGCTGGTTCTTTCTGTTGCCAGTCCAACACTGAGCTTTCAGTCCATATGGCTCTGACTGACTCTGTGGTATCAAGTAGTTTGCGCGTGAGCATGCACACGCACGCACACACACACACACACACACACTCACTCTCCCCCCTTCTGATCACTGTTTCCATCCATCCCTAACATTACCAAGTGAAACCCTGAATATCCCTGCTGCCTCTCCCTCTCTCACTCACACACCCAAATACACACACACACACACACACACACACACACACACACACACACACACACACACACACACACTCACTCTCCTCCCTTCTGATCACTGTTTCCATCCATCCCTAACATTACCAAGTGAAACCCTGAATATCCCTGCTGCCTCTCTCTGTCTCCCTTTCTCCTTCTATTTTTCCATCTTCCCACTTGTGAGAACCTGCAGCTGCCTCTCTGCCCCCCTTCCACATTTGTCTTCCACCCCTCCCACCCTTCTCTCAAACTCCATCTCTCCCTCGCTTGCTCCGTGAAAATGTCACATTCTCAGGAGACAGGGCTGCTCTAATTTGAAAGGAAGGCTAAAGCACCATGGAGGAAAGAGCGCTCACTCTCCCTTTCTATAGCCCTCTACCCCTGCTCCCTCCCCCGCGCTCTCACACTCTTCTTGCTATCGTTGCACTTCCTCGCCATTTGCACCCGCAAATATTTTGTTTATACATAAAACTCTTGTAATTCTCTTTATATCTCAGTCTGCTGGGTCTTTCCGTTGGGCTATAAGCTCCACGTCTCCACTACCAATCTTTGTCATGCCGCTTTTAATCGATCCCCAGGAACCCTCCGTGATTTACGAGACCTGAGCACAGCTGAACTGAGAGCAAGGAATTGGTTCCAGGCAGTCTTCCCCACTCCCGCGCTCCGTTTTCCCCTCTCTTATTTCCTCCCGAGTGTGTCTCTCAAACCAACAAATACACAGACACATGCGTGGAGTGTCTTCATTAACTCTAATCTAATGGTGCTGAAGATGGCTGCATGCTGACAGATGTGCACAACTCCCTAATCTGATCCCCTGTCTACTCTGCTATGACACCCTCTATATCTTACGCACACATGCACACGCGAGCCAACGTGTGGATAGAAAGACTTAAGAATTAAATTAAGTTTGTAGCTGAGTGCTTTGCATGGTAACTCAATCTACACTGCCTGATGCACTTGGTCAAAATGTATTATTAACGCGTGTGTAGATAACTGTGAGACTCGGCGTAGGTGTGTGTCCAAGTGTGCGGTATATTAGTTTGAACGTCTCATTTGTATTCTGTTACCAAACATCCACAGAGGAAACAGAAGAGTCACAAAGAAAATGTTTGCTGCTTTTAGCATGTTTGGCTATGAAAGTCAGCATCATGGCATCTCTGTTTCATCGTATGGATTTTTGGGACTTTATCCCTCTGCTCTGGAGGCCTGAAGGGGTCATGTCTGGTAAGATAGAGACTGAAGCGTGATGACCCGACTGTCTTCCAGTCCTCGTCTTGTGTTTTACTTCTGTAGAGACCTCAAAGACAGTTTTGTGTGCAGATACTTCAGGATCTCACGGTTTTCTCTTATCTAGAGGGAAGTAAAAAGGAACCTATCTGTGGAAGGATAAACTTTAGAGCTGGATAATCACTAACACCAGTGCTCATCGCTCTTTTCCTTTGCTTTTGAAACCCTTTACATGCAGGTCTTCTGAAAGATTAGACCCGCATAAGGGTAAACCTGTGTCTCACTAAATATTTTCCTCCCATTTCTGACTCGACACATACTTTTACTGTGTCGCAGCATAATTGTGAACAGAATGTGTTTTTAAACTCTTTTTTTGATGTTCCATTTTTTGGGGATTCTAATTTGAGTCCTCCTGAAAAGGATTATTCTGACATGAAGCGCTGTGAAAGGGACAATGTGATGTTGACAAATTGTTGCATCAAAGAAGCTGCTATTCAGGAGCCAACTCTCACATTGTAAACATCAGAGAAGCAACTGACAGGGTGATGTTTTTTCTTTTTTTCTTTTCAAAACTCTCGGCAATTACAAAAAAACCTTTACCAGCAACAAATAACTGAGACAGGGTTCTCAACCGTGCATCAGTTCTCGAGTGGCTTTCCAAATCCATTCAAAAGCTAGATTTTGGTTGGAAATTAATAAAGAAAGCTGAAAAGAAACAAAGAAGACAGAGTGTTTTGTTAATGCCTCGGTGATAGCAAAGCAAAACAAAACACAGCAGACACTAATCAGAAAAAACCCAAACAAAAAAAAAGAACCCAGTGCGCTCGGTGAACGATTGCTGTTTACTGCTTTCAAATTAGACCCAGCTTCTCAGAGTTTATGAACCACTAAAGTATGTGCAGGTATGAGCAGGGAGAAGCGTGGGTACATGGTGAGCAATAAATAAAATAATAATAATAAAGGGAGTTCACTTCCTTTAATTCTGCCTCTCAGAGGGACAGAGACGTCTCCTTGTGCTGGTTTTCTTAGCGGAGCTGAAAAAAACAGAGCCCGAGTGTCTGCTGGATCCTGAGAATAGTTTTGAAATTGGCCAAAAGTGATTCTCTCTGGTAGGCAAAGTGAGAGTTGGGAGGCAGGACTATGCAGGGCGCGCGAGATCCTTCCAATCCGAGCGATGAAGGTAAACGCACACACTGGGATTAGCGGTCGAGCAATAGCCCTAATTTCTGTGCCCAATCCCACTGCTTCCTAACACCGCTAGTGTCAGAAGCGATGCCAGTTGTTTCTGTGTATGTGCGAGCGGTAGTGTGCGTCGGCGCGTGTACTTTCATGTGTGTGTGGAGGAAGAGTTGCCAGCTAGATGTTGGAGTTCAAACAGATGGTAGACAGGCATCTGGACAGCTGGCACTCACTGCCTTTCAAAAACCCTTTACAGCAACCACCTCTTCACCATATCCCCATTCTGTCATTCTTGCATTTGCACTGCTTCTTTTTCTCCCGTTCCTTTTCCTTTCCACAGCTCTAACGCTCACTGGGATATCTAAAATAATAAGAGCAATTATAAAATAACTTATTTTAAGTCGAATTTTTTTTAACACACAAGTAAATTCGAAGGCGAGAGAAACAACAAACAAGAGAGGAACACTTATCGAGTTTTAATTCCTCTGCGAAAACGAAGCGGGTCAAAGTTCTTGATTCATCTACATGAGTGCTTTGTGCCTACACTGTATGTGCGTGTAATGTTAACACTAGACCAGCAGATTTAACTGGGTCAGGCATCTCTATTTGATGAGCAGAAAGAAAACCGCACTAGTTAATGCCAGCCTTCCCTTCGCTCACTCTTCCCGTCCCTATTCCACTTCCACGCTCACTTGTCAGATTCAAGTCAGTGTAGCCTATTATATTGAAGCATTTTTACTAAATCATCTATTCACTTGCATTTACGTTTCCAAGGTACTTGTGATTGCTTTGGCATTGCCATACTCACGCTAAATTCTACTTGGCAGCCCCTCAAGGAGTTTGAGTTTCAGTGATTGCAGTGACTGCAAAACCTGCCTCATTTTGTGGGAGAAAATAATGGCCCGCGGCCACATTCTTAGAGTTTAATTGGAGTAAAACTAGAGCACTGACAACAACTGTTAATTAAACCAAATGAGTTATAAAGATATATATGCATATATGTTTTTTTAATAGGTAAATGCTTTCTTTGCAGTACTCTTTACAACACTGGTGACCGTCTTAAAAAATAATTAAATAAAGACAATTTAATCTTGCAAATTCATTTCCCTAATAGCATATCTGCAAAAGTTCTCTGCAGGGTTGGCTGTGATCATTTCTCTCGCCCTGATCGGGGGGATGAGTGAGAGCAGATGTCAGGATGCATCATGCTGGAAGCGTTATCCCGCTCTCCTCTGGCATCCTCTATATAATTTCTTTTTCTTCTTTCCCACCTGCAATGTTGTCATTTACCTAAAGGGTACGTGCTTTAAATGATTGTAGCACAGACAAAAACAAAGAGCTTTGTGTGCCTGTTGTAACAGAAGACCCTAATCAATCCTCTTTCTCGAATCTCCTTGGCTCTGCACTGATTTTTTTGTTGTTGTTTAATTTTTCATCCACTGTTTATGTCTTTTTTAATTCATTAGTTACGTAACAGCATTTGGCAAACTGGCAAACGGATATGGAAAGAGCTTAGTTTGATTGACTTAAGTTGCAAATGTGCATCATACTTAATTGGGTCTAAAGATTAACTAGAAATTGGATTGCACAATAAATTAGAGACAACTAAGCCAAAAACCTTCACTGAAATCTGTATATTGCTCATTTTGTGTAATGCCATTTTTGTTTTCAATTTAAGGTTAAATCAAAGCGATTATAAGGATATTTTAAAATAAAAGACTTTAGCTCATTTATTTATTTGAAACTGGCGTGCCGCACATTGTTTTCGGCCCTGTGTCAGGGAACGCTGCAAAAACCGGGCCTTCTATTCAATCTTACAGACAAGATGGTACTTTACGGTTTATTAGGCCACATGAAAGTGGCAACTATTTGACTCGCTAAATTGAAAAAAAAAATCATAAAAATGGCAAAAAAGAATTGCCTGGTTCTGTTTCCGTAAACACAATTTAATCTTATTTACTCAACTATTTGTTTCTTACAAGTGCAAGATGTGGACTGGGGGTACATAAAACATGGCAAACTGTGGGCAGTTTCCTAAGATATGATGACATTTCTAGCGCTGGACAATTGAATATATACGCATAAGAATATGAGGGGAGAGTTTATACAACACAGAAAAGTTCTGTGTTGGCATGAGGCAACCGTGCAAATCACAACAATCCAAAAAAATCTTTTTCAGATGACTGCAGCCCCGTGTTCTGAAAGAGTGTGCATGTCATGGCATCTGAATCCACAAGCAAGATGCATGTTTGCACTAGTGTTTCTTCTAAACTTGATGATGCCACTACAGAAAACACCTTGGAGAGGAAGAGAACGAGAAGGGAGTCGAGAGAGAGGCTTAGAGAGGAATACAGATAGGCCAGAGATAGTGATCAATGACTCAGGCGAGGAGGAAGGTGTGTGGAGGAGGAGGAGGTGGAAGGGTGGAAAGGTGGAGGTGATAAAGAGAGATCTGAAGATGAGGATCTGACACCTCCCTCAGGACCACTCTGAGGTGGAGGAGAGGAGAAAACCTACACGCATGAATTAAAAAACACAACCACTGGCACAAGTATCATTGATGGGAGCTTTTGACTGGCATCATTCCTCATTTTGAGAAATGTCATCCGTGGGGTGCCTCCCTGTGAATCATTTTAATAGAGGAAATACAGCTGTGTGTGTAAGTCTGTGTGCAGACAGAAAGGGAGGGGGGTGTAGGTATTGTTTGTCACCAGATGAACTCGTGGGGTGAGACTAATGACGAGTGCAGAGAGAAGGAGGGTGGCATTTTAATTGGTCTCTCTCTCTGTGTCTCACTCCAGTCTCCTCTCGGAGAGAACATGAGACTGAATGCTGGCTCTGCAGAGGTAAAAAGGGATTTCGAGCACTGCTCCTGCAAACATCTTGTTCCACTAATTGATCGATAACTTTCCGTGTTACATACTTTGCTGCGATGTTGAACATAAGCTGCCTTCAAAGCACCGGGGAGGATTGTATTTGTCCTTCAAAAGTAGTTATTGTGGTATCTTTCATTTATTTTTTCATATCATCTGTCAGATGTCACATGGTTGAATGAAACCATTATGAAATATGAAAAAAAAATGCTTGGACAGACCTTCGAGCCGCTTGATTACGGGAGATAAAAACGCCCTTTAATATCATCACAGTCATCAGTCGGTCACTTCTGACCCAAATTGAATCAACAACAATTTACATATTTTACTCCATAAAGCTATCTCCATCAGACCCCGGCAGACAGCTCGCTTTTGTGATTAAAATGATTTTGCCGAATTCTGCTAGTTTTCATCTTTTTCAGCTGTCACCTTCACACAAAGCCAGATGTATATTACGCACAGGGTCATCTAATATGAGTCATCCCTTTCAACAGCTTTTCAGTGACATCCTGCTCGAAGGGACGGGCTTGTTTTTAAGAGCCCATCTGAAATCTAAGCAACAGCTTTTACTACTCAGTCTCTGCACCGTGACAGACGTAGCAGAAAACAGGGGAAATGAATGGGTGGATCACATCATTATGAATGTTAAAGCCCTAACATCACCTAATATTGCCTCCAAAAAAACGGCTTCAACACATAAGAGCAGGTCTGCCTCTGTCAGTCGGGATTGTTCTGGCTCATTCTGCAGATGCTCAGTCGATTTTTGCTGGCTGGCTCAACACCTTTGTGTTTTTTCTTTTTTGTCATTTTTCAACTGGACCACTTTTTGCAGTGTGCACTTTACCCCCGCTGGGGTAGGCCGCTGCTGCTGAATGTCAACACCCAAGGTTTCCCAGCAAAAACACGGCATTGTGACGACGTGATTAAAGTTATTCGCTTATTTGTCAGTGGTTTTAATGTTGTGGCTGCTGGTGCATGTGGTAAGTTGCCTTACTCATACTGTAATCTGACAACTTCACCCGAGGCTGTCCATCTCTGAGGGGACAGCTGCTACAAATCATCATATTCCTGCTCCCTTACTTCCTCCCTTCTGATTTCTCATTTCCCTTCAGCATTTTGTTTCTCTGAAAATGCAAAGTTAGCTTCTAGCTCTTCCCTTGGGCGCAGCGCTCTAACTTTCTCTACCTCCCCCCTCCCGCCCTCAAACTATTTTCCTTTTTGATCTTTTCCTTGAGCTTTCCTGTCTGCTATTGCCAACTATCCTGAAGTATAGAGAGACGAGTCGAAATATGGAGGTAATGTGTTTCAAATGGCATCCCTCCCTTTTTTTTCCTGATCCTATCTCTCTCTATCTATCCATCTCCTCCTCTCCATCGCTTACTCTGTGCGCATCTCCCTGCCCTTCTGTTATGGCACTGGTTCATCCTCATGTATATTTATGCTACAAAGCTGAAGAGTCAGGCAGACTTAAAATGAAAACTCCAACTAGGGAGCATTTGTGTGTTCATTTTGTGAACGCGCAAATGCGCTCAGCAATGTGTGCGAGAGTGTGCCCGCGTCGCTGCGTGGAGGTACATGTGTGTGACCGTGTGTGAATATGCACTCTTTTATCCTTTTTGGATAGAAGCATCTTTTTTATATTCAAGGGTGGAATTCCTCTCCACTTCGCCACACACTGCATTCCTGCTTTTTCAGCCCTCTCCATTCCTCTCATCTCCGGCCCAAATTTCCGCCACGGACAGGTGCCTCATTTTTTTGTCAGTGCCTGACAGGACAGGTGAAAGTGACATTCTAATCTAAAGCAGTAATTCAGGAAGCAACCAACCACACACACACACATTTCTATATCACGTATATATATCCTGTGACTGCAGGGGGATGAGCAAACTCTTCTCTTCTTAGCTCATGCACGTAACCACATAACAGCAAAAATCTCACCTTCCTTAGAGTCCTCCCCCGACACGCACACACAAACACCTCCGACAGTCGCACGGACCGACACACTGCTATACATGAAAACCCCCCAAAACACAATTTATTTTGCTTGAACCTCTCGGAGCGAGAACGCACTGGGAGAATGTGACCAATGATTTCAAACAAAATTCCTCCTGCTGGGGAGATTTATCCACCCTCCAGCAAACATGAAATACTTTTTCTCTCATAAATATTACATTCACTCAACATTTTAAGTCTTTGGAAATATTTTACTTTGCCACGCATACATCACTTAGGTTCACGGCTCTTTATCTGCACATATATATATATGTGTGTGTGTGTGCGTGTGTGTATGTGTGTGTTTGTTCATGCAAGCGTGTGTTTTGAAACAATAGCTGTCCTGAGAGGCAGGCTGCATGGCTGACTCTCCTTTAGTTTTCCTAAGAGGAGGAACGTGGGAAATAGGAATAAATGCCATTCATCTTTTGACTGGCTCATTCACTACCTCTCTTTCTCTCTCTCCCCCTCTCTCTCTTACCCCTCCTGTTTCCCCCTTTCACACCACATCTTTGTTCCTTTAAATGGCCCCTTTTGGCTAAATCTCCATTTGAGAATACCCTCTCGTTGTACCCCAACAAATATGCACTTGATACAACAAACACACAGGGGCCTTACACACATACAAAAGCTCCTCCAAATATCTCCTCAGAGCACTCATGCCCGAGCTAAAAAAAAAACAACTCTAAAATACTCTCCTGGAACAATCTTCTGCTGAGGTGACTTACAGTGCAATCGGAAAAACCTCCTTATCTCCACCGCTGCACTGCCATCAATTACTGTTTTTAGAAGTTGATACAGAATGAAAAATCTAATCCAACTCAACTGACCCGACATGAATTCATCCTCCTTATCCCTATCTTTCTCTCTCTAATTCACATTATCTCACACACACACGCATGCCCCAGCACCATCATACCTTCACATCCTTGGCATTCATGCGTGTCCCTTCTTTCCCCACAAAAATGTCATCTATATCCACCAGTATGTGCCGGTCCAGACCCAAAGTAAGCTTCCTGTCTGTGAGGTAGGAAATGGCATCCACCAGGATGAGTCTGTGGAGCCAGTAGGCCAGTCCCTGGCCAAAAAGCACTCTCCTCACCCCATCGTATAGTCCCATGTCCTGTACCACTGTGGCCTGGAGGCCTTGACTGAACCCAGGCCCTGAATTATCACCGCTGCCTGCGCCTCCACCCTCCTTAGCCCGTGCGTGCAGCACCGCCTGGTATGTGGAGTGATTAGAGGAGAATGAAGTCCAGTCTTCACCGGGTAAAGGTCCTCGATCTGTCCCGGGTTTGGTAAGGTGGAGAAGAGGTGAACTAGAGACCACACAACAGTCCCAAAGCGCCTGGTTGGTCCTAAGCACCAGCGGTAGTCCTCGCAGTTTGAGAGTAGATGGGGAGTTTTCCGTGGAGCGATAGAAACCGATGATGCCCACTCTATACTCAGTACAGTACTGATGCAACAGCTGTCTGTTCCACGTGTCTGCATTTGCATACTTTAACAGATTCTCATAAATGATGAGCGAAAATCGTCCACGGCCCTTTTCTGTAAGTGGCGGAAGGTCGCCCTTTCCTGAAGCAATCTCCATCCGGAACTGGAAATGTGCCGACTCCAGTATAGCTACAATGTCTTGGCCAAGCTGGGAGTACTGGGACTCCACCAGTACCAAAACTACTTGGTCAGTGTAGACATGTGTGTGAGGAGGGTTGGGAGGATAGGGGTACGGAAGCTGACGATACGGGGACATGGAGAGCGGCTGGGAGCAGGCGGGCTCAGGGGATTGTCCGAGCTGCATGGAAGGGGAGGAGTTCGTAAAGAGAAAATAGGCAGAGAGGAGCAGGGAGACGAGACAGCAGGAGGCCAATAAGAGCAAGAGCCTTCGTAAATGGCGGCGGAATCGGACGGCCACAGTCATTGCAACCTGTTGAGGGGTCGTGCGCAGGAAGAAGGGACGTCTTTTGTAGTTTGTTGAAGTCTAGCGAGCAAGTCCAGGAGACAGAGCGTTTCTGGAAACCCGAGCGATTGACTAGGCGTGAGACAGGAGCAAACCCACAAAGCCACTCAGGTGTGTGTCATGTCACCATGGCAGTCGGATAAGGGAGCTGTGCCGGATGTCAGGGAACAAAGGTCTTGATTGAAGCAAAGTAGCCGAGGTGCTCGACTCCCAGTCCTCGTAGTGGAATCACGTGCGCAGATGGAGGTGGGCGATGATTAATATCTGCAGGGAAAGGGGACAAGGAGAAAAGAAGAAAGAGTGAATTTGCCGGGCAAGGTTGAATAGTATGCATTAGTTCTCTGCGTGCCTGCTTGCGGGTGTGTGTGTACCTTGGTTGTGCCACCCTGGGGAATGTGAGGGCACAGCTGGTAACTACTGTGCTGATTGAAAACAACTCGCATCCTTAGGGCTTAGCCAACCTCTGGCACACACACACACACACAAATAACATCACAGTTAAAAAAGCACAGACACAACACAAAAGTCAATCCCCGCGAATAAACAACAGCTGGTTGTGTGTTAATATGGCTGTGCAGGGAGGTGGATATGGGCTCAACTAATCACTCCTATAAAGTTCCACTGAGAATACATCTAATTGCGCCAAACTCTGTGCACCTCTGTCCTATTTCTGAGCCTAATCATCTGAAATACCACAAAATTAGAGTCGGAATCCTTTAGCCAGGAGCACTAATCTGGGGGGAGTCCATGACAGTACAGAGGAAATGAAGAGCGGGAGAAAAGCGTAAGAATAAGAGAGACAGAGAAAAAGAGCAGAGAGGGGAAAAAAATGCAATGAATTATAGAAAGAGACAAAAAAGACCAGGATTAGCATCTTAATGTATTTGCCGGGAGCCAGGGAGAGAAAAAGATCCCACAGCATCTCTTACTCTTTCTCCCCCCCATCCTCCAATCCAAGTTCTGTCATTTTGCACCCTTCTTCTTCTCTCCTTCTGTCTCTTTGAATATCAATAGTCTTTCCTCATGTTCTCCACCCTTCTGTCTTCCTTGCTTTTAGTGAACACGAGAAACAAGAAGGTCGCAGAGGAAGGGGGCTTTAAATATAACACCAGAAAATGAAACAGGGATGATGTGAAAATGTATTCTTTTTATCTCTACGCCAACATGAAGAAGATAGTTGTATGATTTACTTGAAAAAAATATATGTCATCCTAACTGGGACTTGAATTAGGAGTAGTAGCTCTGATAAATGTGTTCAAAAGTTACACCCGCGTGAAAAATGCGGAGGATACTCTTAGAAACAGAGCGTAAGAGGCGGATAAAGAAGCGCCTATGACTTAGGGACAGGTGAGTTTCTCAACAGCACGGTTGAGCTGATTGAACCTGTTACTCTATGCATGAATGTGCCCCACTGTTGGAACCACAGGAGGGCGCTGGAATTGGATTAACATGGACAGTTGGACGGCTCATGTGGAAGTTTTCGCCCCTTTTTTAATAACTTAATGCGCTGTTGTCGTTAGTAAGAAAAACAATAGGAAACAGCTCTTGCTTTGCACATTTTGTCAATTTTAATATGAAACAAAAAGTTTGTGCAGCTTCGAATTTTTCAAAACTGCAGTTTTTAGCTAAAAAATAGAAGGGAATTTTGGTGTTTGTCACAAAATAACTGTTGATGGTTTATAACTGATGATATTTTTATCTGCGACCTTTCTTTAAAATCCGAAAGACAAAAAAGAAGCTTTAGATTAACAGTGTAGTTCTTCTACCTATATTAGGAAGGCTGAAGAGGGTGGGAGAAAAAACACAAATTTAGTCTTCCGTCTGTTGGACCCACGGAGACAACAATACCTCTTAAAAAAAAGCAGGTGGCACGAACCACAGATTCAGGCAGCTTGAATGAAAAAAGGCTAACTCAAACTTAACAGCAGGCAATAAAAGAGTTTTCCAATCCGCTTTCTCACGCTGGACTTTATCTAAAGAACCGATTCGCCCACTTACCTTTAACCGACCACGAGGCACCGCCGTGCGGGGAGAGGGGAGTGGTGAGGGTGCAACGCTGCTTCGGATGAGTCCAGAGCTCCGGTGTCGGTGGCGCACCACTCCCGTGTGTTTCGGATGCTGAGGCGTTGTGCCATCTCTCTCTCTCTCCTTCTCTCCCTCTCTCTCCCTCTCTCCCCTCCACTAGAGCAGTAGGGGCGGCCAGCCGGAATGATCCGCTCTCCTCCCCTCTTTCATCATTCTTCGCTCTCTCTTACTCTCCCTCCCCCTGCTGTCTCCTCTCTCGGTGCGAGCTATGCTCACTTGTCCCTTTATCTCATCTTATTAAGGTGGAGATTAGCTGGTAGATATCCGTAGACGCAAGAGGTGCCCGTAAACGACTGGCTGCCGCGCGTAAACGCCGCGGTTTAAGAGCGCCTACACGAGTGGAGGTGAGCTAGGGGAGGGAGAGAGAGAAAGAGAGAGAGGGAGGTGGGAGATAGAAAAGGAAGGAGGGGTGGGTTGGGGCTCGGTTTGATTGACACAAACAGCCTTTTTCTCGGGCATCAGCGATCACGGACCCGGTAAAAGCTCAACGGCCCTTTAGTTGGTGTTAGTTGGATGAGGGATGTCACACACCGATACGCACCGGTGCAAGTTAATGGCGCGCTTTTACCGACTCTCTCTCGCTCTCATCGGACAAGTTATAGTACTCAAGGATGAAAGAATAAGAAGAAAGGAGTAACGCTTTAGACTGCAGCCAGGTTCGCGTCACAAAGAATATGACCAGAAATGTCTTATAATCACTATTCAAAGCACCCTGACTCATGCATATTTGCCCACATGTGATTCAGCCTCAACGTGACTGATTTTGTACATGTCCATCAAACAGTCACAGCTTTTCAACCATGAGGGGTATTGGTGGGGTGGGGAGTGTTCGTGTTTCTTTCTTTCTTTTTTAATCTTTTTTTAAGTTGTTCCCTTTTTACATTCTAGTAGTTCATCAATCTCTTTAACCTAATTGTAGCGACACACTCTAGCTCACACAAGTCTCCATGGAGCTGGTGGGCCCCTCATTCACATCACAATGGAGCTTGTTGTAGTAGTGTGTGTTCGACAGAGAGCATACGGCATAAAGATAATGTATCAGCTTTAGAGAGAGAGGAGAGCCTCACCGGAAACTTTATGCAAAGAACTTTAAGGTGCACATAGTAGCGCGCTGGAAAACACATCCAAACTGTTAACATGTGAGTTCGCATACACTTTGAGAATTTTTTTCCCCACTCTTGGGTCATACTCTGAGTCGATAGTTCCACAATTCGTGGCTCCCACTTTAGCCATAATAACTGAGTGGTGATGGTGAGTAACAGAGCCTGAATGAAATACCGCATAACAGCCAAAATATCATGCCCTACAGAATGGAATCCAGAGATAATGAAGGTTTGGATTGGAGTGTGATTGTGTTTGTATGTAAATTAGTGTCAGTGGGTGAAGTGTAATTAGAGAGGCTGTTCACCCATTTCCTCCACATTACAAGTGAAGAAGCGGCCCTTGCTATGGTGCTAGTTGGAGACAATAAGCCAGAAATGAAAACCAGACAGCTGTGTGCAGGGTGCAAGCAGGACTGCGCTAACCCTAAAGGTAATTACAGACTTGCCCGTTGCCACAAACCCCAAGAATAATAAGTGCTGAGAATGCTAAGCTCACACATGTGTGACTATACGCTGTCTCCAACTCGCAGCGGAACACAAAAGGATGCAGCCGCTCGCACAAATGCATGTGAGAGTGCACACGCAACAAAGGACTATGTGAAAAGTGTCAGAGCTGCCATGTTCAACTAGCACCCTGACTGTTCAACAGAGAAGAGCATGGAGATAAATGAGAGAGAGCGAGAGAGATGGAGAGCGGGAGGCAGAATGCTTGTTGTCTTCATCAGAGGCTTTTGTTAAGTGAGAGATAAGAGAGGAGGAGCAACCGATTCCCCCTCTTTTCTCTCTCCCTGCTGAGAGCTAAATGGTGGCTCTGCGAGTCTCTGGTCCTGTGCGAGGCCCTGAAGAGAGCAAATGGAGCTCAAGTGCAAAAGCAGGAGGGGGACGAGGGGACGTTATCACCACGATGCATCACATAGTCGCAAGAGTCAGAGCAGCAGGCATCTACACAGAGCATCGTTCACACTATACAGTCCTAATTAAAAACACAACAAAACACTGGACAGATTGTTGCACTGTCGCACTGAACACACAGTGGAACCTGTGCCCGGGCACTACTAACGATACTCTCTTCTGCTTCCACTGCTGGCTGCTTCCACAAAGCGCAGGATCTATGGCTCTAAGCAGCAGCTCTCTGAGATGTATCAGCTCTTTGCCTCCCACAGTGTAAACAACAACATGCTCGCTTTGCTAAGGTGTGTTGGCTGCTTGATGCTGGTGCTATTTCAATGATTCCTGCTCTTTCTTTTTCTTCTTCTTCTTCTTCTTCTTTGTGTGTGTGTGTGTGTGTGTGTGTGTGTGTGTGTGTGTGTGTGTGTAAGTGAGTAAGATCAAACTACCTACCCGCTCCTGACCCCTCCCCTTGCCTGGAAATGTTGATAGATAGATGTTCTCTTAAGAGCTTGGAGGCTAAGTGAAAGCTGCCTCCCCCCTTACCCATCATCCCCAAGCACATTAGAGGAAATATCTTTTGGCCAATCAATACAGCACTCGCAGATTGATAAGCCAAAGATACCCGTACACAACAGTAAACAAGCACATGCATGCACACACGCACACGGAGAAAGAAAGATTTTCTTCTCCCATCTTTGGGTCTAGTGTATAGAATAACCAGTCCTGGATCAATCTATCACTGGAAGGCTGCCAGTAGCAGGATTACCATAGCAACATACAGCAGCAACTATAGTCTGTTATGAATAATATCACATGTTTTTTTTTTCTTTTTAATTTTACAAACACGGATAAATTGCTAATTTTATCCTGCCTCATACCACATATATAACATACTCATATAGCACAACTGTACACGTTCTCTCTCATTACAAGAAAAAGCCAGAGTGAAAGCAGGGCTCAGTGATGCTTTGTAGAGCAATTTACAGAAAAATTATAAATGAAATTAACAGGCCTGAAGCTATGTTATTCGATAAGCCCACAGCTACTGTGTATTCACTGAAGGAGGGGTGTCAAACATAAAGCCTAGGGTCACAATGAGCCTGGTAAAGGCTCCAATCTGACCCACTGGACGGCTTTGGAAAATTTGAAGTAGGACATAAATTTTGGACTTTTAACTGTATTTTCATAAATTCTACAGCTTGTCCTACTGATAAAGCCTCCCCCCCACAGCCATTCATTCTACAGTAATGAAGTATTAATTAAATTACTTAAAAGTTTCTATTTTCTTAACTGTCTACTATAGAAAGGTCTGTTTTTTTGCAATGTACCCATAGTAAAATAAATAAACAAACAGATATATAAATAAATAAAACTGCATATTTTTGTGAATTAGCAAAAAAAAAGTTTTAGAATTACAGTAAACAACTTTTTATGTAATTTTACACATGACTTTCTAACAATTTGAGCCCAAAGAGTCAGATTACTTCAGCAGCATTTCTTTATTATGTAGAAAATCTGAGACGTACTGTTGAAATTGCACTTCTGATTACTTATATTGAGATATCTCAGGGATTAAATGTGCAGTTGAGCTAATTCGCAATGACAGAAATTGGAGTCTCACTGGTCCGGCCCACTTAAGATCAAAGCGGGCTGCATGTGACCCTCGATGCAAAATTCGTTTGACATCCCAGCACTACAGGGTGCAAAGGTGTAAGACCAAAAACGGCAACAATGAGTTTTGAATGTCAGACAGCTGGAAAAATGTTCAAATCCCCGCTGCAGAGAGAGAATTCTAAAAACTCCAGCAAACACAAGAGAATTTTACTCCTGACGAATTAAAATTGTAAATCAGAGAATAAACAAGAGGCTTGAATAATTCGGTTACCGACGTGAGTACTGTGCCATCTCCCTCTGCTGTCACTCCTGAGGTGTTTACTTGGTGGAGCAACAGCTTTTCAGGTGAGGTTTAGTAGCATTTAATCTGATTAATGATTAGATAAATTCACAGCTATTTCACAGGTATCTGCATCAGTGTGCCATTGTCTTTGCCTCTAGTCTTAATATGCTCCCCTCACCCCAACCAAAAAAACACCACAAAAAACTTTTTAAAAAAATCAAGAAATAAAAACAGCACCTACACAACATTAGATAAAATGTTACTTGAAGCTAATCCTAGTGCTCTGCACACCCAGTAAACCTATATTAAGTGTTGGGTCAGATAGCGAGCTTGTTGTGAAGTAAAGACTTGTGTGTTTCACAGTTATTTATTTATTTTTCCCAAGTACTGAAGTTTGCCAATTCAGTTGGAGCAGCAACAGAGAACTGAGAGAGTACCGCATAATACATAATAGAAAGCAAAGGTTAAAATGCAAGAAGTCATCGCAGTAATGGAGACTTGTTTACCTCCCATGCTTCCCGGGATTTGTGTATAATGTGCGGGGGGAAATACGGAGGCTATTAAAGTTCTCAGCTCCAACAAATTTTATACAGCAGAAATGAAGCAAAACAGATTTTACATCCAGCTCCTTCTTGGTGTTCTTGGGAATTTTGTGGGGGGGGGAAAGGTTTTCTTTTACATTTTTTAAACTCTTACATCAACCATTATAAGACTGTTTTTCTGCTTGTAATCATTTTTATCACTAGGAAGTATTTTACAACAGAGATGCAACCTCGTTAGATTACAGTGGTCAGGTGGAAAAGATCTCCATGTCTCAGCAGTGCAAACAGTGAGCAGGATCATCGCAGCAGTGTGTTTTGGTAAGACTTTGTTTACTCCGTGTGACTCATTGACAGACAGGATGTGGTTCGCCAATAAGAACACGGGCTTTTTTTGACAAATTCAGGAACAATATTGCCTCCACGCAAACAGAAACACACATAAATGCGCACACGTACCCACAAGATCATGCTTGACGCCCACACATCTCTGTAAACAACCCAACACTCCCACACTTTTACAAGCCACAAACACTGGCAGGCTTGTTGCTTGTTAGAGTGACGGAGCGCACCTTCATTTCATATCATATCAACACTTCATCTCAGCGCTGATTAGACGTGATGTTTCTGACAGACAAAAAGCCACCGAGTAGCGGTAATGCTAGACGTGTGCGCAAGCGTTTAAGAAAAACAAACACCAGTCTGGCGGTGTTGTAGCCGCATATCATGTGGTTGTATGAGAATTTAAACAACAGAAAATTAGGAAGGAGCACAGAGAGATAGAGAAAGTACAGGGGGAGGATGTCAGAAAGCACAACAGCGATCAGATCACACAGTGCTCAAGGGAAGGAAGGGTAAAGTGATCCGTCTCTGTCTCTCTGACCTTGTTCACGCTCGCCAAAAACCTAACTTACAACC